GGTGGATGGACCGACTGGTCACCATGGGGACCGTGCTCTAAGACGTGTAAGAAAGGGACGAAAATACGACGACGAGCATGYGCAGATCCWAAACCCCAGTATGGAGGGAAGGAATGTRWAGGTGGACTTGAGGATTGGGCTGACTGCGAACTGAAACCCAATTGTCCAAGTAAGTCAGCATACTATTTTTGATTAAATGACAGACTTCGCAGTATAGATGGCCGCCAATGTATATATCACTAACGTTGGATYTCAAGTTAATGTATATATGATAAAAAATTCAAGTAATTTACATTGGTATTTAGAAACATGTGCGCTTGCTAGTTGCGCATACATCTCTTTTTGGATGTGATGAGTCCTCGATCTTATTCACGACTTTCCATACTCAGGTTCASTGACCAYGAACAAACCATTGAAMCGAGGCRTCAAGGTTAAGTGAACATAAAATGAAAGATCTGCGATCAGTGTTCCTTGACGCCTCGGTTCAATGCTTTGTTCGTGGTCAATGAACCTGATTATGGAAAGTCGCGAATTGASGTTGCTTATCTTTTTTCAGTTGATGGGGGCTGGGGAAAGTGGGGCCCATGGGGCTCGTGCAGCAAGACCTGTGACCTGGGCACTAAAATRCGTACGCGAAAATGTACCAACCCACCTCCCAGATATGATGGTAAACCATGCATAGCTAAACAAGCCAATGGTTTGGACTATTGTTTAGAGGAGCGATGCAATCCAGGAAGTAAGTATTGTTGAATGGTCTTAATTTCACCTAATGACATTGGCGCGATGCACAATGGGATTGATAAGTAGAAAACTTATTTGAAATAACAACTTTTTATGAAATGGTCGCCTCATTTACCAATATGGGTAAAACTTATTTGTACGCATTAATAATCAATTTACGATTAAKAAAACTTCTTTGAATTTCAGAAACTCCATGCGATGATAGAAAAGAAGAATGTGCATCAGGTTCAGGMTCAAAATGGGATCAAAATTCAGGATCAGGAAGTGGARATGGGTTTTCAGGTTCTGGCTTTAGCTCTGGSTTTGGTTCGGGTTCAGGGGAAGGTATAGATGGTGGCTCCGGAGGAGGGTTTCACAGACRATCCCACAAAAGGAAACCAAAAATCCCTGACGATGAAGACTTACGATAGCCGACTACAATGTGCATCACATATGTGTAGTCATGGTACATTCAATTTCTAAAAGACATTCACAGCATAAGGCTGTCCTAGTTTGACTAAACTTCAGTACATACAGCCTTTTGCAAAAAATATGAGAATTGTTGAAATATATAAATATCATAATATCAATTGCATGATGGTTAATCCCGCGCGAAGCCCTTAGTCCCTTGTCTTTGTAGTTTAGTTTTTTTTTGGCGACAGACTTATCCGTAGTTCTGAACATTTTCTCGATGTCAACAATGAATTATTCTAGCAAACCCTCGTGTTCCAGACAATATATGGATATGGATATTATGATATTTAGATATTTAGACAATTCTCATAATTTTTGCAAAAGGCTGTATTYATCAAAATATAATTGCTTTGAAAAGCAAAGAAACAAGACCAGCAAATCCACAAAAATTTAGTCACAATATAGTGGGAAATAATATGAGCTAGAGTTCATTTATTATATCTATGAAACACTGCAGGAATTTGCTCAAAATTCACTGAAAGGTTAATTCAAAACACAAGAAACAAGAAGGCAAATGTGAAATTGTTATTTCAATTGCAAAAAAGGAAAAAATAGTTATATTAAGAGAAAAGGCACAAGAAGTTATTTATATGTCAAACATTTTCAAACTATGAGTTCATCATACAAATAATTTCTTTTGCTTTTCTCTTAATATAAAAGAGAAATTGTGCCACACTATTACTGTTTCATGGGTTATTGTCCTTGACAATGAAAAGCTACAACATTTTCAAGTTGTTCACTACATATATTTTTTTTATTGTTTTACACATATCATTACATTGTTTAAAACATCATTCCTGGACGATAACTGAATTTCCTTACATGTACAAATATATCTTGTTGGAATATTCTGACACAGCTTTAAACTCTATGACAAGTACATGTAGTATTTGAAAGTCTTAAGTACTTTAAAAGTTGCTTTTCTCTTAAAAGAAACCTAAATACAATATTTTGCTACAATATTTTTGGGTTTAACAAAGTCAATCCAAACAAGCTTGATGTTATTGTTGTTATCTTTCTGTCCCTAGTTTCCCAGACTAGTGCTCAAAGCAAAAAAAATATTAAATTTATTAAAGCAAAAGCTTGAAATTGAGATATGGATAATTATAAAACAAAGCCAATGCTATCATAGACACCTATTACCACTTCTTTTTATAATCATCAACACTAACTCCTCCAGGTCCTAAAGCAACCACAAGAAGTAGGCCTCCAATAACCGACATTGTCTGGAAAAAATCATACTTTAAGAAATCTCTCATTGGCGAATCTGCATTGAAAACCCAGAATGGATTTAAGTAGACGTTGAGACAAGATAGMAGAACCACRAGGGCTAATGAAGCCAACTTAGTTTTRAAACCAATGGTTACTAATATCATAAGAACAGTACCGACCGTATCYAACAAGACATAAGAAAACACAAACTGGAATCTAATYAGGGTAGCAAACATAAAAACTAACAACACACGTCCTGTTACTTGGAGGTATGTTTTGGTGGTATTTCCGCCAACGCTAGGAACTCCGGCAAACAGACTTTTTTGTTCGCTGCGAGCTTCAGCCAAGATCAGCAACAGTCCACCGCATAGAGCAAGGTTTCTGGAAGGGAAAAAGTTTATGCAGATCTTTCAAACTATTTCTGAGTCTTCGAGATCTTTTACATACTTTTAACTCTTTGTGTTAAAAGTACTATGAGACAAATTCCAATATTTGTTATGATTATTATGTAGCAATTCATTTTGAATAAAAAATAGATAAAAAAGTCTGCAACAACAAGCAAGTTGATCAAATTGATTAATTTCCCCATTTTGCACAATCCTAGAGAGGCCTTATCATTTTCAAATTAGAAAAAAAATTACTGAAAAAAAAAAGCCATGCAAAAATGAAAATAAAGTCACTCTAACGTATCTTCCAACCTGACAAAAATCATGTGGATCAGTGCTTAGGCTAATCAAATTTGTAACACATTTGTCTCAACAATGAATATTATTAAGTTATTATAAACCATTAAAATGTCGTCAGATTACATGTTTATTACTTTTGCCATTATAATCAAGGTTTTGCTAAACGCTGGATTTACAACAAGATTGGATTTTTGACATTTGAAACGTCAATACTTCATAAATAAAAGTTTTTTTTATTATTCAGCTAAATTTCTTGCCCACAATAAAATTCTRGCAACTATAGGAACAACTATTATACCAAACACTCTAAAAGGAATCTCATTTGAAATCTCACCTCAGTAAAAATTTGAAGTCCCAAAGGATGCTATAGCCAAGAGTCTAAAATAAACAAACTAAAAGTTAGTTTTTGCAACATTTTATAAGCTATAGTTACACAAAAACAACATCGTAACTAAAATATCCTTCAGTGCATTACTAAATCATTTGCATTCTACTGAAACAGATGTAGATTGGCTTCTTAAATTGTGGATCGAAAGATCGTTCTGTCACATGGAAGTACACGTAATCTTTAGACTCTAACAGCGCGTTAATCTAAGCTAAATATATATATTTTAACCTAGATTTTACAAACTAGTTCAGCAATCAAAAARGCAAGRGCAGTGKATTTTAGTTGATAACGTGTAGCCTTGTCGATRCTTTGGGCAAATGACAACTAWGAAATAAAATTCATTGAAGTTTATGGAACAAATGGCGACCTACCTGGATTAAGACTACAGAGAACAACACTCCGACCGCTATCTCGACTTTTTGACGGCTAAGGATCATAATACATCCACCAAGTTGTGCAATAAGGTTAAACAATACGAAAAGAACACTGAGGAAACTTCCACAGTTCCATGTCTGCTCGATGTAATCTCTTTGTTCGCCCCATTGAAACCACATTCTAATACCATCTTCAAAGAACGTCGAAATCAAGCAGAAACGAGCCACGTGAGGCAGGACATGCTTACCATGTCGGAGAATTTGGTCAGCTACATCTTCAGCTTTGCTTAGATACTCGTTATATTGAAATCCGCCGGCCTGCCTCGCCATTTTCAAATTTGTGTAGTTGGAAACACAATGGCGGATGAAAAGGACAGTTATACCATAATACACTTCGTATGCTTGTGCCACGTTGACTTAGGGTTGACGTCACGGCTCACTACGCCCACCTCCCCTCCCCTTCTACTTTCCCTGCAATTTGCGAGCGATTTCCAAATTTTACATTTATAAATACATTTTCCCTTGATTCATTAATAAATATTTAGGCAGTATACAATTTTTTATTGAAAAACTACCACATTGAAAAGAAATACCTATTTATTGGTATGTCACTATAATTTATTTGAATTGAAATACTTCATGAAATTTTGATATTTGTCATGTTGATTAAAAAAATATTGTTTGGCTAACTAAATAATAATTCATTGATTATTGATTATCAGTGATTAAATGATTGATTAATTGATTAGAACGATTTGATTGCAATAGACAATTTCCATCGTAATCTGGTGAAAAATGAACGGAACTTTGAAACGATGCCCAAAAATATTATTTATATGAATGCCAGCATTATTTTTGTGCCCACGCATCTCGGATATTGTCTATTTTTTTTATGACCATTAAAGGTGTATTGAATGGTAAAATCCGAGCCTCTGCGAGCCCCTCATTTTAAAATCTGAGCCTGAGCCTTTGGCTGAAGGAGTCCAATATTTTGGCAGTTTTGAGCTTCTGAGCCAAAATCAATTCTAAATCCGAGCCCCTTTCTTTTAAGCGCAAAGCTTGCGAGCCTTTGGCAATTTATGGCAAGCCTCAAGATTTCTGAGACACCATTCTATACCCCTCATTAAGTTCTCTGTCACCAGAACCCTGTCACTCAAACTTAAAATGAAATTATAACATTTTGTTGACTATATCCAGACTCAATGCAAGCCACATATAACCTTCCAGACATGCTATCATAGCAACTGCWATTRATGGAATAMGACYTGTTTGTCTTATTGAGATCAACAGAGCCWGTCATCTTTAGAAGAGTGATGTCCCATGACTTCAACACTGAGCCTTGAATACACAGCACATTTTTGCCGGCTACAATAGAAGACTTTCCTACTGGCGCCAGTTTAGCAGATTCCTTTAGATTTCCAAGATTAATTARCTGYAACTYATTGCAGGAATGCACAAMAAGACTATTGCCRACAATGTGCATGCCACCAATGCTTGCTGGTGCTGCAATATCATGTATGCATTCCCATTTCTTCAAATCCCAGTATTTTATTCCCTCTCCTATGGCATATGAAAAGAGATGCCTATTGGATACTGCTAGTAGGCTGATAGGACCTTTGTGACTAGTGAGAGTGTGTGACAATTCAAAAGTGTCGCAKCTCCAGACATTTATCACACTGTCTGTGGAGCCMGAAAATATAAAACTATTGTTTGACACAATAGCCCTTATAGATCCACTGTGACCAGAGAGAATTTTGTGGCACTTTAATGTCTGTGTGTCCCAGACAATAAGCTGCTTATCCATTGACCCAGTGATGACATGGGTGTCACCTGTCAGCTTTGTGATTGACAAGATCATTGCTGYGTGTCCAGCTAAACTGGACACTTCACCTGTCTCCAAGTCCAACACTTTCAAGCAGTTGGAAAATAGTGGATCATCTGATCGATCAGCACGTGAATCAGCTAAGAAGAGCTTCTTATTGGCTGTGACCATAAACACTGGTGTTCTGATGTTTGATGGAAGGTATATCGGGTCGGAAGACTCTCGTCGAAGAAGAAGAAAACTTGTAAGTGGATCGACATCATGTGACCCTAAAGAAATCAAAGGCCATTCTTGTTCTCGTGCCTTGTCACCTAGTTCATGCTGCACAAACTCCCACACACATCGATTCACCTCAGAAACACTGCCAAGAAAATTTTGCCGGTTTGTAGTCCCAGTAAAAGCTCGCAGTTTGCTGGCAAATTTCTGCCCTAGTGCTACCTGAGCGGCTTTTTGAACTTCAGGGATAGTGTTCAAACGTGACATGTACTTCATACACAAAGAGATTGCGACATCAGGCTTGTCCTCGAACTCGTGCAAGGAGGAAGTAACCATTATTTTCGTTGCAAGAATTTTGTCCTGCACATCTTCGACGACACCAAGAGCAACTTGTGCAGAGTCTCTTGCCTTGTTGAACTCTTTCTTTGCTTCATTACAATCATCTTTTAATAACTGATAGCCATTTTCCATGAAAGCAACTGCGGCAACAAGTTCTTTCCTGCGCAAAGCATTCAGTTCTTCATGCATCTTTCTGAACTCACTTAACAAAAGTTGTCGTAGCTTTTCGTCCGCTACATCTCCGTGCTCTAAACTCTTGATCGCTCGATTTGCAATCAAAGACCAAGCTAATTTGAGAGATACACGTACAATCGCAAGTTCTGCCATTTGCTTTCGATGGTTTTTATGAATGCGATTTCATCCACGAAGGCAAGTTTGACAGTAATAACCGCGTAAAGCCTGGGTACTATTTTTGGGATTCCTGTGTTGACTCCGCTGTGCTATATAATCGCTGGCGCGTTTCGAATGTTATTTTTCCAGTAACAAAAATACATTACATTTCATTCGCTCCAGTGAAAAAAAAAGCTATTTATTACAATGACTTAGAAATGCCATTTCAGACTCTGAGGCATTTAGTAGCTTTATGTTTCATAGCTTTAGTGGTTTTAAGTCATGCTAGCCGTCTTTCAGAAGACCGCGACGAAGGAAAGCCCAAGTCGTTGTTTGTGTTGGTGGCGGATTTTTTGCAATGGATGTCTTGGTTTGTGAAGTGTATTATATACTCTTTTTACGTCGTTATCAATACGTTAATACTCACAGTAACAGAGGTCATGTCGACTGTAGTTTCTATCCCTCAAAAGGCGATAAACATGGTGGAAATAGTTGGATACAGCGTGCGATTCGCTCTYCAAGCTAACTACAACTTCGTCTCATCATCCATCGCAATCGCTGGCCGATTCTTAAAAAACTGCTGCGTATTTCTAAAAGATCTCACGATTTCTATATTTGTATCGATAAAGTCTTTATTCAAAATGATTCTTCATTTCCTGCATAAGGTGATGTTCGGTTTACCAAAGYTGTTTGGGTATGCAGGATCTGGCGTCCAGACGACAGCAAACGCAGTTGGAGAAATAGCTGTCAAAACAAATACCTCATTTCGTGGCGTGTTGTCGTCCATTGGAGCAGTATTAGAGCTATTTGGTCGTTCAATAGTGACGACATTTCTTCTTGTAATAGACTTCGTTACGTATATTCTTGTATCATGTGCAAAGTTTTTTCAGTTTATTGGACRAAGTATTATTAATCTGATGGCTAGTGCATCTAGAGGTACTATACTCTTCTGCCAAAGGACTGGTGCTGCTGTTAAATCCTCGACCTACTACATCATTGACTATGTTGCACATTTATTGAAAGGTGTCAAAGAATTTCTCCAACTTGTGTTTTCGACAATTGCTACGGGTTTGCTGTCAATGTTTCAGACTGTTGGACTTGTAGTCATTAGAGCCTCCTTGAGTATTTTTGATGTAATCAAGCAAGTTATTTTCACTATAAGCCATGCATTCAATAAGACTATCACACGTGTTGAAAAAATGACATTCACTGTGTTCCAGGCTGTTAAAGAGAGTAAATTCTACAGCACACCTTATATGTATGCAAGTATCCCATTAGTTCTAGTCCTGTGTTTGCTGTTTGTAATCCAGAAAATCAATATTCTCAATGCTGCCTTTGTGTTTATGGAGACAATTATACAACGCATGATAATGAGAGTAGTTTTGGGAAAACAGAAAGAACCAATCACACCTCAAGAACAGTGGTCATATGACAATCATTCTGCGAGCACATCATGTGGTGACGTTGAAAACCTTCAAAAACAGCTTCAACGTGAGAGGGACAAAAATCTGTGTGTTGTTTGTCAGGATGAAATGAAAAAGGTTCTATTGTTGCCATGTCGACACATGTGCATTTGTTTGGGTTGTGCTAATTACATTACGTCTTCTTATCAAAGGAACAGAAGAGTTTGTCCGCTCTGTCGTACCCACATCACCTCAACCGTAGAAGTATATTCATAGTTTATTAAGAATGTTTGGTACAACAATTATTAACAGATCAAAGAGTTCTCCAAATCTATTTTATATGTTGCGGTCAGTGCCAGTTTTTGAGAGATTATTACAATACTACAAATATGCAAAGACTAAAATGCATGAAATGCAATATCAATKTAGCATTAATAAGTACAAAATTTGCCTTAAACTACAAACATTAGTAAATAGTGAATGCACTTAGTCCGGAAACAAAAAAAGTACAAAATAAGTGCTGAATTACGATGATTCCTTTTTTCCTTTGTTCAATCAAACAGTTTTAATAGTAATTAGTACTATTTTGTTTCACAGATGTAGGGTATCTACTCTAACGATTACTCAGATATCAAATTATAACAAATAGTTTGCAATTAATGAATGTATTTAAAGTATGAAAAACCAGATACTGTACAAAGAGCAAAGAGCTCTTGTAGTYTCTTTATAGTTAATATAGGATATTTTTGTAAGTTTACAATTTCTATAAAGTTTAGTATTAAAACACTTCAAATATTGTTCTGAACTTGTCTTTTTTCCTCTTTTATTAACTTACATTTATTAAATAATAATATACTTTGCAAGTGGGTTGCTACAAAAGGAGCTATGTTTAAGTCCCAGTATGCACCATTATGCTTTAGGAGRCGCAAGGGCCGGCATGCGGCCATTTTCCGTTTACTGAAAGTCTGTAAATTGTACTGTGTGTTTCGAATCTTTGACCTTCTAAGCACTTTAAACGCTAATATAAGTGCTTTCAAACATCTGGAATTCATTTTATGGTGATATTTGGATACTAGAAGTATTTTGGTGTAAATCATAACAATAATAGAGACGCGCAAAGCAAAATGTTGCAAACTGGGCCATTAATGTCAAACTCTTGCCTGGGAACGAAGTTGTGAATCATAAACTGTGCTGCATCATTCTCAAGACAGCAGCTATWCACGCCTATTCATCAGCCAACAAGGCAAAAGGATTATTTGAAACCACAGGGGCATTTGCCGTAGAATCACTCTCTGCATCCTCTTCACTTTCTGACTCGGTGTCAACATTAGAATTTACAGTATTTGTTTGTTTCTCTTGTAATTCTGCTATGATCTTTGTATCAGGATGGTCAAGCCAWTTATCTGGTAAAAAATAGGAATCATCAAAATATAAGCATGAAAAGAGTACAAGATGAGGAAGTGTTACTACTAACAGTACCTTTATTTGATATAAAATCTGGAGGGTAGAAATAAAAGGGAATTTTGCCCTCTACCACTAGTCTCAGAATACTGTTTGCTGAAAAGAGAAAATGAATAAATAGAAATTATTTCACATCTGCCAGTTCACTGTGTAAGCTCTAACAAAACTAGATCTGTTCACAGTAAATCACCAAACACAGCAATATTCTTGCCAGTAAATTAGACATAATTTGTGATTCTTTTAGATCATGTTCTTCGTAGTGCGATAATGTACCGTGTGCAGTACAGTATCAGAGTTTACCTAGTGCGATAGTGTACCGTGTACGGTACAGTACCATAGTCTACCTAGTGCGATAGTGTACCGTGTACAGTACATTATCATAGTCTACCTAGTGCGATAGTGTATCGTGTGCGGTACAGCATCATAGTCTACCTAGTGCGATAGTGTACCGTGTGCGGTACAGTATCACAGTCTACCTAGTGCAATAGTGTACCGTGTGCGGTACAGTATCACAGTCTACCTAGTGCGATAGTGTACCGTGTGCGGTACAGCATCATACTCTACCTAGTGCGATAGTGTACCGTGTGCGGTACAGCATCATACTCTACCTAGTGCGATAGTGTACCGTGTGCGGTACAGCATCATAGTCTACCTATTGCGATAGTGTACCGTGTGCGGTACAGTATCATAGTCTACCTAGTGCGATAGTGTACCGTGTGCGGTACAGTATCATAGTCTACCTAGTGCGATAGTGTACCGTGTGCGGTACAGTATCATAGTCTACCTAGTGCGATAGTGTACCGTGTGCGGTACAGCAACATACTCTACCTAGTGCGATAGTGTACCGTGTGCGGTACAGTATCATAGTCTACCTAGTGCGATAGTGTACCGTGTGCGGTACAGTATCATAGTCTACCTAGTGCGATAGTGTACCGTGTGCGGTACAGTATCATAGTCTACCTAGTGCGATAGTGTACCGTGTGCGGTACAGTATCATAGTCTACCTAGTGCGATAGTGTACCGTGTGCGGTACAGTATCATAGTCTACCTAGTGCGATAGTGTACCGTGTGCGGTACAGTATCGTAGTCTACCCT